CATTATCATTTACAGTGAAATAACTAATTGAATTTTATGTTTATTTTTCCTTTTAATTAAAACAAAATTATTTATTATTGCATTAAAACATTTTATATCTTTTGTGTGTACTTCATACATTTTAATTTGGCCACACTGATTTGCGCAAAGGCTCGACTCTCTGTTAAGTTCGGTTCGGCAAGCGTGCGCTGATGTTAATCGAATGGCATGACATTTTTTGACCAGGACCGTACCGATTTATTTCTTCGCTACAAAATTGAAGTTCAATTTGCTTGACAAAACGTGGATATATGAATTTCTTATATAAGGCTTTTTTATTGCATATATTCCTAGGAATCTGCATTTTATTTTTTCTGCGCTAAAGACGCCACACCCTGTATAAAACAAACAAATCGTACATGAAATGGTTTTCGCTTTGGTTACTACGAAACCAAATATTTATTGTCAAGTATCATCTGCTGTCATTAGAAATTTCTCCAAGATATATATTTGCCACAACTTAAACTTCTTGTATGTTATGATTCAAGAAAGTGAGCATTCAGATTTAGAAAAGTTTTGTCAAGCTGGCATCATTCCCGAGAAGTCTAAAAATGCGAAAAACTTGCTAGCCTATTTTGTTTCAAGAAATAAAACCCTAAAGTCTCCAGGAAGCTTATGGGCTGAATAATCTATGCTTATACCACAATATTTTTGCATAAAGCTGTTGACATTTCAGAATATGCTCCGTTGATTGCTTTTCTTAAGAGGCAAAATATTGGACATAAAGTGAAAGAATCATGAATCTTTACCAGAGAACACATATACAAGTTATTAAATAATTTTTCTGATGAAATCTATTTAAAGATAAAAGAGGAATGATATTTGGAATATTCCCGACACTAAAACGCATTATGGAGAATTTTATAAAAACATATCTAGCAGTACGACCAAAAGAGGCAGTCACTTATTCTTGTCAATGCGAGATCGAAAGGTCACGAACCAGGTAGTGGGTAGAAATACCATGGAAGTTGGCCAAGTGAAATAGCACTCTTCTTAAAATTGTCGAATCCCTCAACTTATACACGCATTCCGAAGAAGTTCTGTCACTATTACAGCAAACTAAACAATAGATATGTTAGACCTTAAAGGGTACGATGGGTGGCGTTCGTTCTCTGTAGCTGAGGGACACATCGAAGACTCTGTGGAAAATAAAAATCGATTTTCAAACGAGATTTTATATGGAAATGGCAACTTGATTAATTACAGAAAGAATTTGATGCTTAATAACATATTTATAGCGACATCCTGGTAAACAGTTAGGTACATTTATCGGATTGAACAAAGAATACATATTTTTTTCTGATATTGTTTCTCTTTTCAATAATATAGGTAATTTCTGTGATGTCTAGCAAGAGAAAAAAGTTATGAACACAACAAATTTTGAGTTCTATATGAAGTGCCCTCTAGCGGTGCATAATTATTTAAATAGAAAAATTTTAAAAAATTAATTTTAACAAACTGTAACTTGCAAACAATTGACAATTCGAAAAACATTTTCATTACATACTACTAATATTTTAATCCGCAGAATCACCTCCCGGAGTTTTGTGACGAACTTTAAGAACACCCTGTATAGTAATATCTACCATATTTAAAATTGCTGCGCTAACGATTTTTTTTACTTTTTACTTTTTTGTGGAAGGAATAGTTTTTTTTTAGATTTCTTCAACTATCCTCGTCAGTTTATTTTAAATTTATAAGGTTAATAGGTAACTCAAAAATGTCTCGTCTTTAAATAAAAATGGAACATATCTTTTTTATTACAAATATCAACTGGAAATAATTGAACTTGTCCAATTTCTTAACTCTGTGGCATCTGAATTCTAGTTCTTAGCAAGTATCCCCACCACTGATTGATTTTGCGTACCATGTTTGTGACTTTTTATCCATAGTTAATACATAATACGTACATATTACTTAAATTACATATTATAGTTAAGATGTTAGCCCAAGCTTCAATAATCTACGTCAACCAACTTAAGAGATATTTTAATAAACCTGAATTTGTTTATTTCCAATATCTAGAAAATGAAGCGGTTTACGACATCTGTTTCTGTAAATTTCTTTCTGGGAGTAAGGTCTTCTATCGACTGTCAATGTCTACAAAAACTTGACTCATCCTATACATATATGATGTCTGGAAACATAGTATTTATCACTTTCTTAAAATATATCTGGGCTTTTAAAATCGTATGTTTTGAGTAATCAGATATCAATGAGTGTTCTGTTTTGATTATCATTTACATGGAAACTGATGTCACTAAGATTCCATGGTGTCGCCGAGTTCAGGGAATCGTAAATTCCTAAATCGCAATTAAGCTTTGCGAATTCGTATCATTATTTCTACACCATTTAGTATTTGTAGCGTTTCATATATTTTTGTATTAATATAATGGGATATATGGATAATATAATATAGGAGACAGAGTAGTATTTACGACCATATTAATTGAAACTGAACATATATTTTTAAAATTTTTCTTGTATTGAAATTTCCTTTATAAGTGGAAACCTTTATTTTATCTTATTATTTTTTATCTGAAAAGGGGACCTCAAGTTCTGAATTTTGAAATTATACTAATTTTCAAACACGATATTTATAACTAGGTATATGTCAATATATGCAACAAAAATATTTTTACACTAATTTGAAGTACCTACCGCTTTTCTTTCAGTTTTTCTCTCAATAGAAGAAAATAAAAATTTTAATAATACATAAATCCTTTTGCCGAAAAAGTGATCATGGGTTGCGTTTATATATAGGATGTTAAAGATAACTTTTGCCAAACTACAGTGGCATATTCTACCGATGAAAATAATCAACTTTCGCCCTATAAAAATTTTTGATAAGACGCTTATCTATGGAGATACAAGGTGTTAAAAGTGTCAAATATTTATATGATTTTTCCTGTAACTTCGGTGACAAAAAATAATTAGTGATGAAATTTGGGGGATGTCATTTTTTTAGTAGGGACTATTTTTTCATGGATAACTTATTCCAAAATACACTCCAGTGGCGAAGTTATTGGGGCAATAGGAGACCTTTTTTGAAAAAAAAAAAAAAATGGTACGCTACTGGTTTTTTAAATAACTTTAAATGTTTTTAAAATATACAATCAATTTGTGCCAATAAAGTATTCTTGAAAAGTATTGATAAAATTTACTAGGCTTTAGATAATTGGGAAATTAAATAAGATACTTATGTACTTACATTGCTATTTATCATTTTCTATTGATTGCTAAATGTGTAACAATAAATTCAATACCTAATATTTTTGAGAGATTTCAAAACACTATACAACGCCACTGTTTTGTGTGTTGCAAAGAATTTATTATTTTTCATTCAACTAAAAACAGATTTTAATAAACAAAAATATGGTATTCAATTATACAAATATTGAATTAGCAGATATACATTTTACATACGGTAGAGCGAATGGCAATGCTAAACAAGTTGAACGACTTTATATACAAGACTTTTCCAAGTCGACGTTGTCCAACAAGGAATAATTTTTCAAACGTTCACCGTCGAGCTCGTAAAGTAAAACTGCATGAATGTCGCTACCAAAACGTCGAGCAAGAGGAAGACCTGTTCGTACAGTTCATTTGGAAGACAGAATTTTGGAATCTGAGATGAAGACCCCAGTTCCATCCAGAATCTACCAGTTCCAGACAGACATCAACAGATTTGAGTGTATCACATGTAACAATTTGGAACGTCTTACGTGAGCTGCAATTACGCCCATATCATATCCAGAGAGTTCATTCATTAAATGAAAGTGACTATCAACCGAGGATTGAATTTTGTCAGTGGTTTTTACAACAATGCGAACAGCCTGATTTTCAGTTATTAATATTATGTACCGATGAAACGAAATTTACAAGGGAAACCATTTCGAATTGTCATCATAATAACCACTAATGGGTGGATGAAAATTCGCATATTATTCCCCAACGTCGATTCCAAGAACAGCTTTTTCTGAATATTTGGGCAGGCATTGTGGGCGATTACTTGATTGGTCCCTACTTTTTACCCAGGATCGCTGGATTGGTAGAGGAAGACCCATTGCTTGGCCGGCTCGTTCCCCCAACCTGAATCCCTTGTATAATATTTTTAGGGCTACCATAAAATTATTGTATATCATACTCCAGTTCCCAATGTAGAAGTACTTCGACAGCGCATTGTAGAGGGTTTCGCAGCCATACACAATAGGGCTGGAATTATGAGGCATGTAAGACTTGATTATTTTCATCGGTAGAATATGTCATTAAAGTTGGCAAAACTTATCATTAACACCCTGCATATTTTTTAATCTAAATACGAGTAGTTCATACAATTTGATAATTATTTAAAGACTCATCAGATCTAATAGAAAAGTAGCAACTTATTAGTATTAATGCAACTTAAAAAATGCGGTTTTTGCAAACATGAAGTTGCAATTAGAACAAGATCGTAAAATTAACTTCAAGAATGTTATAAAGCTGAAGTGGAAAATCAGAAAAGCTTTATGGAACAGAAAAGTAGGAACCAGTTGTTCCATATAGTCATATGAGAAGGGTACTGGAAACATTAAACTGATCACGCGAAATATCTTTCTTTATTTGAATATTTCGCCAAAAAAATTAAAATTTTCTAAAGCAATTTTTGCACTAAAATGCTCAGTAAAGTGCTATTTTTACGAAATTGTTTTTACTTCAAGATTTACAAAAGTTATCTGGAAAAGCCTGAAAATCCTATATTCGAAATTTAATTAAATATAAAATAGTTAAATATTCATTAAAAATTATTTATTTGAAATAAATAAAAATCTTGTTTATTTGTAATTACAGTAGTATTTACATAAGATAGTAAAATGAACTAGTAACTAAATTTTATCTGAATTTAGTAAAATTCTGTCATTTGCTCAAAATGGACAACAAACTGGTTGTTTTTACAATAAAATTAATGTAAGCTGGTTTACCTTCCTATTTCTTTCTCGTAAACACTGTTTTGTCCATATTCTGTTTTGGCACCTTTTATTTTTTAAATATTTCAGAATGTTATTCCTTGTTGAACACCAATGTTACTACTTGGGAAAATAACTTTACGAACTAGCAAGAAAACCATCGTAGAGTTAAAAACAACTCTTTCCTGAACAATCTCACTCTCAGCACAATTAAAATTTGTTCAATTTAAAAAAAATCATACTAAAATATTTTTCAACGTTGCGCAAGACTGAGTTGTACTGAGCTATATTTGTGAGTTATATTGGGAATTGTCCATGAAATATATAGTAAATTGTTTTAATTTTTTTTTCAACTATCTTTTAAAAGTAATAAATAAATGCATCTGTTGACACATTTATAACGACCGTTAATTCATATCTAGACAGAATTATTTTTACAGAATTTATTAGCTACCTATATAAACTGCCAAGATAAATTTTTAATTTGAATACCTAATAAATTCTTGTTTTCCGCTGTCAGTTTTAATTGTACAAGGTGTCATATAAAAATAAGTAGAAATATTTGGTAACTACAAAAAACATGAGTCTGGAGATTTTCTTAATGTGTTTCAGAAAAATATTTTCTATATGTGTTTCAGAAAAACATTTTCTAAAACAAATTTTGCTAATATCGTTGCTAAAATAAATTCATTTTTATCTAGATTGCAAATACAGGTTGTTAATGAACTTATGTCAAATATTTGTGCCACATGTCCGTTATGTCAAAATGAGGTAAATACACGGATTTGTGTTGAGTAAATTGTAATTTTAAAATCTGACTTACCTCAATATTACAAGGTGCCTCCTTTTCAGAACTGCTGACTTTCATAGATGTTCGATGTACCTACCGTTTGCTTGCACACAAGCTTCAGCGCGACGTATCCAATTCGCTCGCATGCGTTGCAACATTGCCACGTCCTCTCGAATCGTATTACAAGCTTCGACAATACGATGTCGCAACTGCGATGTCACGAAAAGTAATGTTTAGAATGTCGCGCACTCTCCGAAAAAAGTGAGCGGGGACTCCTCTTTTGCAGTAACCAAATATTCTGCCGAACATTTAATGGCACGTCTTTCAATAACTCCGGCAAGCGATTTTGCAAAAAATCTAGATATGAACCACCGTCTAAGCGTCTAGGCAATTCAAAAGGTCCTATTAAAGTGTCATTAACAATACCGGCCCATATGTTCACTGAAAACTTTTGCTGAAAGGCACCGCGACGTATTTCGTGTAGATTTTCGATAGTCCAGTGATGAGTGTTGTGAACGTTACGTACACCATTTCGACTGAAACATGCTTCATCTGCAACAAGTACTTGCGCTGTAAATTGAGAAATTCTTGTATGTTCCTGAAGCAAAAATCTCGACGTATGGAAAATGCTCAGGAGTAAGCGCTTGAATATGCGGATCTTCTTCGACGAGATCTAAAATCATCTCCTCGACATTTAAGATTCTTAGTGGTCACTCTCAACCATCGTCGCGACCTCGACGCGGTTGTACTTCACCGGTGTCCAAAACTCTTTGCGCTACAGCAACAAATGTTCGCGCTGCAGGAGCACGTCGTTCAGGATATCTTGCACGGTACACTTGACAAGCTTTGTGGACATTTTCGTTTGCCATAAATTATGAGCATATTATAATATTCGCTATTGCTAAATAAATGCGCCATTTTCAAAAGAAAACTTGGAAATAAGGCTATTAAATAAATGTACTCTCGAAAAACAGCACAGCAATCACTACAACAATGTATTACAAACTGACTTTCGAATACAGTCTGGCTTCATAAGAAACCTACAAACTCGTAAAAAGTGTTATAGATTATTTTTGTAAGTACTCGCCACGATAAAATATATATATTTCAGCAGTTCCAAAACAGTTTTAAACACATTTTTAATTAGCTTTTTTCTAAATTACCTTAAACTTCCGATACAAGTTTGTTACATTAGTTAACTCAGTTTTTGCTCCTCTTTCACCCCTTTAAATTTTTGACATAAGTTCATGAACACCCTGTATAATAGGAAATTAAATTAATATGATAAGGTTGAAAATGTACAGAAGGTACAATGAGAACAGGAAGAAATAAGAGATTTTTCGTGCCTATTTTTTCATTTCTTAGTTTAAATTATTTAAACATAAGGAAATAACTTATAAAAACAATGTCGATCATTTCCCGTCTCTCAATTCATTATAATATTCTTACTGTCAGTAACGATCACAGGGGTATTTTTCATTAAAGTAAAAAAAGGAAAAAAGTAAGTACAGCGAATATTCCTTTCACAAACTTGTTTTTGTCGTTGTGTATCCGCGTCATTATTATTCGCAGAGATATAAAAAACTCGTACAGAAGAGAGCACGAAACAACCCAGCAAAAGAAGGCAGTTATGAAGTAATTGTCAATTTGAGGATGCTCCATTCGCGTCATCAAACGCAATGTCTAACTGAAGTTGATTAAGTGTTTCATTCCCCATCTTTGCTTGGGATACACAGGCGTACCGGGTATAATTTAAATGTAAATTCTGGAATCACTTTAAAGTCGTCCTATTGATTGACACTCTCAGACCTATTATTATACCAAGACAGCGGCGAAATCGACTCTTTATGAACCCCCATTTGCGTTCAATTATTAGTCATATCTGTTAATGCCACCAGAATTTGTTATTCACCTCTTGCCTGAAAGGACTCCAGAACAAGGATTAGTTCTGTTGGACTGTTTACTGTCTAAATCCCTTTTTGTCCCTGTTTTCCTACAATTCGTAATTATTATTATGCTTATTCACACAACGGGAGGGATCATTTTGTAAGCATACCATTTTTCTGTCAGACGGTGGTGCAATATGACACAACGCGAATGATAAATCGGATTTCTGTTCTATTTAACATTGATGCAATTAGTAGACAGATCTGCGAGATTTTCGGAAACTTTAGTCTGGGATGGATTAAGAACAGCTGTTTTTGGATTTAAGGAAATATTTCATTATTACAACTACTTCCGACAGAATAGAGAAAATTGTTGCAAATCAAATATAAAGTTTCAAATTTGCCTGATCTTAAAGGTTTTTGTATATTTTCACCACGAAAATTCACGTTAACTTTACGGATCTGTAGTTTACTACACTTTATAGTAGTTCTGATGTGGCTTCCCGTGCATGTGCCATCTAAATTTTAAAGTTAGGTAAAACTAGTATTATTAGGAAGAGAAAGACCCAGAGTTTGATCAACTTAACAACTTCCAATAATAATCCAGGAAAGTAAGGAAATTAAGGAAACATTACAAAATATACGCAATAGCAAAAATGAAATAACATATACAGGGTGATTCATTAACAATGGGAAAATCGAAAGCTGAAGATACTACACGTAAAATGGTGACCATTGGCGTAAACATGCCTTATTCTAAAGTTGATAGTTTCGGAAATACAGGGTGTTGAAAGTTAAAATTTTAAATCGTTTTTTTTGCGATTATTCTGAAAATATGTAGGTTAGGAACTTGAAAATTTGTGGAACTATATTTTTTTAAGCGACGAATAAGATGCGTGTTGTAAATTCAGCGTTGCTCATAGAGAGCGCCACTTACGACCAATTTTACCGAAAAACAGAAACAAAAGCAATAATACCCAAATGCACATTTAGATTATGACAAAAATTAAATCCAGTAATAATAAAATAATACAACCAACTAATACAATAATTAAGTGATAGACACTTTAAGACTTTTTTTAAAACTGTGAACAGACTTGCGGGTTCTGACATTATTAGGCAAAGTATTATAATTTTTTATAGCATTGTAAGACAGCAATATCACTAAAACCGAAGTATTTTAACTTAATACAGAATATTGCATGATCCAAAGTGTTGAATGCTTTATTAAAATCGAAAAGAATAAGACAAGCATGTTTATTTTTATCAATATCACTTATCAGATCATCTGTAACTTTAAGCAGGGTAGTACAAGTAGGTACTATATTGCGCTCGAAAGCCAGACTGAGTATCAAGCAGTATATTGGCTTTATTACAATAGTTGCTCACTTGTTTAGAAACCACTTTTTCCGAGATTTTTGATAAGGTAGGAAGGTTACTAATGGGACGAAAGTTGGATATATTTGTGAGGTTATTAATTTTCACGAGAGGTATAAGGTTAGCATCTTTGCGTGAGATAAAGGGGAAGCGAGAAAAATTAAGAAAATCATTACAGCTTGCCATATTCCCAGAACTAGATGTACTGGTGTCAAATTATGCTTCTGCTTTATAAAAAATTAGTTTCAAAGGAATAATGTGTAATAAGGTGTCGAGTTAATAACAATTGTAGCTTATAAATTTGTGGCTTCTGCTTTATAAAAAATTAGTATCAATTGGGTAGGTATGGTAATTCAGTACGAAAGCAACAAGAAGGGTGTGTTTTATTTAGCACTAAATACCCAGATAGATGCATGGGGTAATCAGCGGTGAGCAAAATTGAGAAAAATATATTAAATTAAATGTTTATCTGGGTGTGAATGAGAATCCTCACAACAACGTTCACTAGCTTATGCCGATATTATGCTCTTTTGCTACAATAGACAGAGTATTACATCTAGAAAAGTGATATGCATATAAAGTGCATCTTAGGCAAGAGATGTTTGAAGATAATTCCGATGGAAAAATGGAAGTCAGCCAAATATTAGTTAATATGTACTATGATAATCCCCTTTAAGTAAAAAAAATATATTTTTTTTTTCAGACAACTGTCACATTAAATGATATTACATATTATTAGAATCCTTGATGGATGCGACAGCAGCACACATAGTATCATAAAAGGCGAATGTAGGGCGGGAATAGAACAATAATTAGTCTCTACTTTTTCGAAGGCACCATCAATGGATAAAGATTAACTTCAATTTTTATACGAATACCTAATTCCTACTTTAGTGTCATTACTTCCAATTGTAGAATTCCTGATGAGATCTTTTGGTATCAGCATGACGATATATCTTCCCAATATGCAATAGCTGCTCTTTACCAAGTATCTCCAAATAAGTAGATTGGAACTGTGGAATACACACCGAGGTCACCGATTCTTACGCTGACAAAGAAAGTGTAGCTAAAGCTGGAGAATACTTTCTTCTCAGAATTTACGGCTATAATAAAAAGGAATTTATACATCTTAACACTTATAGGCACCAATGCTTCATAAAATCAGCATACAGGAATAAATTTAACATCGCTTTATTGCCTCCTACAGAAGC